GATTTTATTTGGAGTTTCCTCATTTCTGAAAAAGGCCCTTCTAACAGCAAAGTTTTAGTTCAGAAATATATCAATAACTCATAAACCACACGGTAAATTTTATTTAAATTTTGCATACAGGTGATTTTTAAGACACATAACTGTCAAATGTTGTCAATTTTACACTCAAACTGTTATAGTAAAAACTCTAAACGCAGTCGCTGCAACTCGGTGCCCTGCAAGATGAATTATAGTATATCAAAATAAACATATACAGGATATTACATACAGATATACAGTACGATTTTGATTGCAAAGATCAGAAAATACCACTGAGCTTGCAACCCTTTGATTTAACCATGTTAGTAATATAACAAATTCTATATCTTACAAAACAATTAGACCACTAATGACTAATTTCTATTTAAAAGGTATTACTTAAGTGATTTAAGTAGTATTTGTATAATGACAAGTGCTGACCAGTCAGATTTATTAATGAACCATCTGTGTATTTGTCGTGAAAGCTTATGTTCTACTGACCAGTTACCATTCACTATCGAACTATCGTATTGTCGCCATCGCATTATCGCACTGTCGACATCGCGTTATCGCACTGTCGCCATCACATAGTCGCCATCACACTATCGTATTGTTGCATTATCATACTGTCATCATCGCGTTATCGCATTGTCGTCATCGCGCTGTCGTATTGTCGTCATCGCACTGTCGTATTGTCGTCAACGCATTATCGCACTGTCGCCCGGCCTCTGGATTATAAAGTGTTTTACATGACAGAATACGGGAAAATAATTTTACTTTTGTCAATTTATTTAGCACCTAAAACTCATTTTTAAAGATGAAAATGAACATTTTTGACGAGTGTTTTGTAGTATATAGAAAAGTTTTCCGACGAAACTCCGTGACAGTTATCACAAAAACTCCTGACAAGTATAAGAACTTCATTCCTCGTGTAACAGCCCCCCCCCCCCCGTCTGTATACCAAGTTTGAAGTGAATAGATTTAATTTAACTTTGAGAAAATGCACCTACCAACGCCGACTCCAACGGTGACAAATGTGGAGCTTAAAATTGTATGCCTATATAAATATGTATTTACATATTTACATATATAGTGCTTTCAGTAGTTAATATTTGATTCATTTTAGTTGTATAAATATTGTAACATTGTATCCTTTCTTTATATAAAAAAATATTTGAAAGGGAGCGGAGAAAATTACTTTATCTAGCTAAATATCGCAAATGTAATGAAATTATTTCGTCTCGACAATAACTTCTACGTGACAATACCCTACGTTATTGAATATATAACCATAATACAAAATACAGTTAATATCAAATAACACATTTCATATTCTTGTAATTGAAGAAATTAAGTGGTGAAACTATATTATGATTATTTAATATTGGACGCTTGGATGAGGTTACCGAAGTGTAGTCTACAATTTATAAATACGTTAGTGAATTTTCGAGAACAGGAAATATCAATGTCAAATATTTCAGTCATAACATGTTTGTCATTGCATTGTCAGAATTTCAACGATTGAAGTATCAAAGTAAATAAAAATTGTGCTACAAAGTGAATATTAAATATACAGTCAGGCCGGTTCCGAGTCAGGATTGTAAAATATCCACAACAAATTTGTATCTTTTAATTGGTATAAACACACGACGCCAGTGAGAATGCGTTTATTTGTTGTAATCATATAACGTAATCGGGAAACGGGAAACGATTCTCTGTACAAAAGAGAACAAGTAAAATGGTTTCCTGCGGTGAACATTTTAATGATATAAAGATATTTCATTTAACTATTTTCAACATTATTTGGGGGGGGGGGGATAAATAAACGTTTGTATCAGGAATATAGTTGACAATAATCGATCAATATAGAAGAAGGTATTTGGAACCTGGTGACCGTCGAAGAACATAAAACAATTCTTTCTTTTTAAGAAAATGATTAAATAGGCCTACCATTTTATGAATAATTCCGAGCAAAAAATAAATTAAGTAAACACACAAGTTTACGCAGAAAATATCTCTATTTATTATGGCAGATGCCACTACGAATATTTTAATTTTGTAGATTTTCAGTTTAAACAATTTATTGTTTGTAAAATTTGAGATAGATATCAAGGAAACATTGATAATTTTCAAACACATCATTCAAGTTTTTCCACCTTAAACGGTAAAATAATTATAGAAAATTAGAAATATCACGCAATAGTTTTTTGTTCTCAATTAGGTATAATTCGGACTAACTCCCTACAGGTGAATCCGTAACGTACCGGCTAACGGTATTTAGCTGGGTTTTCGAAAAGGTCAATTAACCAATCATATACGGTTTACAGATCACATGCTCCTCCATGTACCGAAAACAGGTCACGTGCTCCTCCATGCCTCAAAAGTTAAACGCGTACCAATACCCTGCGGTCTCCAGACCGCAGGGAATAAAAATAATTAATACACTTGTTACTATATACAGTAACAAACTTGCCTATGATTTCAACTGATTATGAGTGTCACGTGACCTATTATGAGTTTGCGGCCCGGGGCCGAGAACTAGTTATCAGCCCGCAGAACATGTGCACGTGCACAAACTGAAACAATGACGTCATATTTTACGTCATCAAACAGTTAACTGTTAAAGTGAAAGTAGGTTGTCAGCACGAATCGCTTTATTTTTATTATGAGAGCTTAAGCGTATTTAGTACACACACATTTTTGTTACTATTGAAATTTGAAGAAATAATACGACAAATTCATTCCGAAAAAAATAAAAATAAAACTTGCTTCTAGTAGATTCTACTGCTTTGAACACACAAACAGTAAACATATATGTACAGAACAGTAGAAGAGTAACAGAATTTCAACGAAAGAACTTTGTTGTTGTTGTTTTTTTGTTGTTTTTTTTGTTGTTTTTTTAAATGCTTCTATTAGATCTACCAAGTGTATTAAAGACATTAATACACGTCAGAGTAGGGCCGGAAGGTGATAATCGGCCCTGAATGAATAATGGCCCTCGGGTCCATTATTCATTTTGCGGGCCGATTATCACCTTCCGGCCCTCTCCTGCCGTGTATTAACCTCTTAATCATTACATGAAATACAAAGATAAGTATATCAAAACATAAAAAACGTACAAACACAAGATATCTAATCATCAATCAAAACATTTGTATTTACCTCTAAAATACATTAAAACATATTTTACTTAAATAATTACAGTACACTTAAATAATCCTATTTAAGATATTTTCAATGAAATCTTAATATAAATTACCATTTTAAACAAATAATAAACATACCAACTATTGCAGCGTTTTAAATATATCGTCGTGATGCTTACAAGTATGAACGTTTGAATTTGTTATGATCATTGCATTTCCGTTTAGATAAAAATATGACGTAACGCGCCAAACGTTAACGTTAAATTTGGAAACAAAAATATCAGTAAATAAGAAAACGATATTATGTGAATTAAATAGACGTAAAAATGTAAATATATAGCAAAAATATAATGTTAAATTATTATAAATTTAAAGAAGAATTTAATAATTGGTTTTACTTTGTTTAGCGCATACATGAATAATGTACTACACAACAGAATAAATGTTTCTTAGTATACCTTAATTAATTCTTTATCTCTCATTTTCTATGTTTTGATCTATCTTTATCTATTATCTTTCCAGTTATAATCATTTTAATTAAAAATTAGTGCTATTCATATGATTTCTTTGTTGCCATGACGTCAAAATGAAAGTAAGCTTTCCTGTAAGAACTCTGTTAAAAGTGACGTCACGATATATTTATTTTTAACAAATGATCATCTTTGATCATCAAGAGACAAGAACTCTATTATCGAGATCAACGGAATTTTTCCACATTTTGTCTCTCATCGGAATTTTTCGTACAGAAACTGTGGTTCTCTACCTTCCCGAAATTACACATTCTTTTGCGTATATATAAATATGTATCAATTAAACGTAATATATAAATTGTCCAGGAAAGAAGATAAATATCAGTTGAAAAACATTATGCAATGTATACGTATCTTTATATATGTATACATCTAAATGAAACAGTTATTTAATTGGGGTAGTTATATAAAGGGGACGTTACGCGCAAAAATAGCGGGACCAACCGGAAAATGGCGGAATGTACCGACAAAGGGACACCTCCTGTCATAATAAGAAGACAAAATATTGCAAATCGCATTATGCTTACTGCCAACTGCTTAGTGTTTTCCGTAACATGATTCTACAAGCGAGTTTTTACGCACGCGTAAAATGACTACGAGGGAAAGGTTAGTTTTGCACTGCATAAATAACCAAAAAATTGCTACGTCGACGAATGTCTGCACAGTTGTAGAAATTAAAAGGGAAGCATAACGACACGAAAATTTCATTACGCCATACTAGTAGTATTCGTTTTATGCTGTGCCATGATAGGTACCCTATAATCAATGTCGTATTGTACCAGGAATTCGACACCATGTATCTTATTGCTCCGCGCCCACAGGCGCGTAGCTATTTGTGTTTACTAATTTTTTTTGTCCATGGGCCCGGATTTGAGCAATAAATCCTTTCGATTAACAGCTAAAAGTAAATCCGCATTCATGAACTCCTTTCGATTTCTATATTGGTTTCCCCGTCGATAATTCGCAGCATGTCATATTAATGAATGAGAACCGGAAAGCAGTTCTGCTGTTACATAAATTCGAAAGCTATAAATAGCTATAAATGTTATACATTTGTTATTTCCCTTTTTTAGTAGTACATGCAATTATAATTTGTTACATTTTGAAATACATTTTCACACAGCATATCAAGTATACTATTAGTGATTGAATTTGTCAATATAAAGAAGATTTCAGGCAAAAGATTTTAACAATTTTGCTTTTGATAATTATTTTTAATTTATATTTATGAAATTAAATGTTTAATAATAACATGATGATATATTGGTTGTTTTGAAATAATTAAACTTTAGTATATTAGGTTACATTTCATTAACGTCATTGATACAGCTTACCACTTTGAAATAATGGTATAGAAAAAAAGCATGTTTGGGGTGTTCGTACTCGACAGCGAAAGCTGCATTTAGTAGTCTTGCGAGCGGATGGATCCTCCTTAAGGTTATTCGCTCTGTCAGCCAAGTTTGTTTACACAAAGTTTGAGCAAAGTGAGAGTAGGCCAAAATTCATATATCAACAAAGCTCACATTGTTATATGATGAGCTATTTGCAAGTACACTTCCAATTCTATGTTTTAAAGACTATTTTAAACAAAAATAAAAATGATAACAATAAGAAATTTACCTTGAATGGGCTACATTTCTGAAGACCAAAAACATTCTGTTGCAAATCTTTATGCACATTTCATGAATGGCAAAATCCAGTTTAAAGTCTAATTTAGTGCAAACAAATGGTACTTTTTTTGCAGCAAATACAAAAATCTTTCAAAACTTAACTCCAAATAAATCAGTATCTCATGTCCTTCTAAGCACATTTTTATTTTTGTTTATAATTGTCCTTAAAATATAAACCTGGAAGTGTATTTTCAAATGGTTCATCATTTTACAATAAGAGCTTTGTTGTTATATGAATTTTGGCCTACTTTCACTTTGGACAGACTTTAGTTAAAACAAACATGACTGACAAAGCGGAATCACCTTAAGCATAGGCTATAGATAGATATCATGACAACAACAGAAACATTGATCTGCAGTTTGAACATGAAGTGTAATGTTTTTTTATGAATGGTTTTAAAGCAATTCAACATAAAATATATATTGATCTCCCTAAAAATTAATTAACAATAGTTTTTTTTATATATTACCAATGTCAAATAGCTTTCACATCTTTGTCTCGCACGAATATGATATAAGTGAATTTCCTCATGCCTACCTTACATTCAGGTAACAGTCTTCTATTATATTGATAATACTGTATCACCATGTAACGCGTGTATAACAAACAAAAAATCCTGAATTTGGTCTTTTGGAAATTCATCCCATTTTTTCATTCCAGGGTGTGTTCTACTTTCAGTATTGAAAGAAACCATTTTTTTAATTTGACATGAAAAATATATATGTAATATTACTATATTATAATATTAGTCCCTTTTGTTACTATTTGTATATTTGTTACAATTATAACAGACTTTGATATTTCTATCATCTATCTTCTGTTACTGAAACAGAACACAGTACAGTCATGTCACATAACATTTACAAGTCTTGTAAGTCTTGTTTGTATTCAATGGAATTACTTTCCTTACCAGGTAGGCATCAGTGAAAGCATTTTTTATATTAAATATTTTCCCCTCTTTTTAACGATGGACAGTTATGGACAGTGCATAAGATAAGTATAATTATGCAAAAAATGGTTTACAAAACATTCGGAAAAAATCTACAATAGTACTTAATCTGAATGTAACATGACCTGTGCGTAGGAATAATTTGGTAAGGTATCTGTAATGAGCAAATTTTTTTGCGCGGAGCTTCTCAATTGCTGCATTGCAGCAACATTTGTACTTGTATATAGACAGAGCTGACACGCTCTTTAATGGTTTATCCTAATGCCTAGGATATATATTATTAATTTGATCCCAACGATATTATTCTAAACTTTTAATAAGCAAATGACCAACAATAAAAATCAAATTTGAGCAAACATGTATAAGTCATCAGGCATGAGATAAGGCACCAGACCCGTTACCAAATCTAACCAAAATGAACAAGAATGCATTTGTGAAAAAAAATGCTATGCCACCGCTTTAATATACTTACTGAAGTAGAATTTTTTCTTACTATACAATTGAACTTTGCCATAATGCAGTAGTGCCTAGTGTATTAGGAGGTCAAGGTCATATTTCAGCATGTCAAAACATTAGACACATGTGCACATGTGTCTAATGTTAAGATGCAAAGGCCATAGTGCAATAATTGATTAAAAAAAAGATTTTTTATTGACAAAAATAGGTATAATATGGCTGTATTAAACTTTGAAATGCAGGTACAGTAACTTTTTCTTAAATACCATCTTTTCAATTAAGCATTACCAATTTCTAAAAACATAATCTTATCATATACATGGTGTGTATCATAATGTCCTTATAATGTGCTCAAATTGTTTCATTTAATAACTCTACATAGCTTACAACTCTCTTGCTTAGGAGTTCATGACCTGAATCATTTCATAAATATCGCTGAAAATCATGACATTTAGACTTACTGCCAGCTATTGAATATTTTACTTAGTTTTTACTATATGTACATAATGATAATCAATGACCCCTCCCCCCAGGGCGGAGCCAATATTGACCACAGGGCTATAATTTGAACAATCTTGGTAGAGATTCATTACACAATGTTTCATGCCAAATATCTTACCTCTAGTCTTTGTCAATTCCAACTTGAAATTTTTTTAAGTTTTTATTATATACACATAAGGAAAACCTATGACCCCCGGGCCGGGCCAATTTTGACACTAGGGGCAAAATTTGATCAACTTTGGTAGAGGAACTATATATTATATTATATACCAGATATCAAAGCTCTAAGCCTGGTACCTTCAGACAAATAGATTTTTCAAGTTTTTACTATACATAATGAAAATCAATGACCTTGGGGCGGGGCCAATTTTAACCCCAGAGTTATAATTTTAACAGTCTTGGTAGAGGTTCACTACACAATGTTTCATCCCAAATATCTTACCTCTAGCCTTTGTCAATTCAGAGAAGAAGATTTTTATAAGATTTTACTACATATATATATATAGGAAACCTATGACCCAGACAATGCCTTATGCAAAACATCTAAGCTCTAGGTCGTGTTGGTCTTTACAAGAAGATTTTTTAAATTTATTCTTATAATTCCTTTTGGTTGCCATGTACCAGAATTCTGCATGAAATCAAATTCTTTGAACAACTTTGGAAGCCCTTCACCCAAGGAACAATCCTACAAAGTTTGGTTGAAATTAACCTAGTGATTTTTCACAAGAAAATGTTTATGTTCACTAAATAATCTATATAACACACACAGGCGCACGCACGCACGTGTGTGCGTGCGCGCGCGTGCGTGCGCACACACACTGGGGTGAATCGCTATATGCCACCGCATCGCAGATGCTGTGGTGGAATAAAAACACACACGCGTGACATCACTTTAGGCTACCTCAAAACACTATCCAAATCATTTCAAAAGGAAAATATAAAACTTTAAATAATTGAGCACCGTCATGCGATTCGGGGCCTTAATGACATAATGCGCAAACGTCATAAATGACGTCAAAAGTCATACTGGAAGATTATAAGAATCTTACATTGGCTGTCGGTACAGACCGGAATATCTAGCTCGAGGGTAACTGT